ACTAAAACTTATGTTTGTGAATGGGATTATTATACACATTGTTATGTATTATGCCTTTGTATTTGCTGTTATGTCTTAGACATCTCTTCATACCAATGCCTGCAGGTCCAGCTCCTTCTTCACTTATATGAAAGACACCATCTTATTTATTCAGCTTGTCCCTTTTGATGGACATTTAAGTCACTTTCCAGTTTTTATCTTGCAAAGAGTGCTGTGAAGCATTCTGTCATCTGCCCGTTCCCAAAGTGATACCTGGTTATTCCGACACCTGACATCCAGCACCCACTCTGATCACTATCGTTCCTCAGTGCAGCTAATCCTTTTGCTCCTGGTCTTCAGAAATACCTCATCCCACAGGATCGTCAGCCCTACTTTCTTTTCAGCGTTCACTGCCACCCTTATGTCTTCAATCCTCTTCTTTCTGAAATGTGGCCCTTTCTCCCACTTTAGTAATCACCTGGCAAAACCCATTTTTGGCTAAGTCCATTTTCCTGCTACTGTGTGCCTGCACCTGAGCTGCTGTGTGGAGGTGAGGGAGTGCTCCGCCTGGCCCCCTGCCACCCTAGATCTGACCACAGTGCTCCCTCAGCAGGGCCAAGCAATCCTGCAGTATGTGTATATATATATATATATGTGGGTGTGCGTATATGTATTACGAAATTCTGAAGGTTTTGAGTGGTTATCGCTAACCCCAGTTTTTTCTTTTGTTTTCGTTTTTTTTAGCCGTGCTATGAGACACAGCATGAAGGATCTTTGTTCCCCAAATAGGGATCGAACCTGTGTCCCCTGCAGTGGAAGCTCGGAGTCTTAATCACTGGAGCACCAGGGAATTCCCCCAGTTTTTTTCTAATAAGCCTGGTTATTTTAGTGATTCCAGCTGTTCTTTGTTTGGTGAATTAATTTAGCAAGGAATAATCTTATATATAACTCACTAATAGGACCCATTTATATATTGATGTACATACAGTTGGTGACATAATTTCTTTAATGCGTATTTTTGTACCAGGTTGGCTTTCTCAGGTTATTCCAAACAGTTGAGACCTTTGTTATTTGATGTAGCATCCCTGTTCCTATAAAAGGGTGAATTTATTAAATTTATATTGGAATGAAATTGAGATTCCAGAGGAGCACAGACTTAGGAAACAAGAAGCCTGGTCCTAGGCTGTGGTGTGTCATATTTCTTCCAGTGACAAAAAGCAATGTTTTTTATGTTTAATCACCCAGGAGAGTAATGTGTGGGCATAAAAGTTCCTATCGATTCTGATCTCCTTGAGAGCAGGATCATGGCAGATCTGTTTTTGTATCATTCCTACCCAGCATCTCAGCAGATGGTAGGAGTGCGAAAAAAAGGTTAATAACTGATAAATGTTTACTATAGGCGTTTCTGCTAAAACCCAGTACATATATTCCCAGTTCTCTGCCACACCAGCACTAAAAATAGCAGGGCTTGTGGGGACCTAGGATGGGGACTGACCGATCACAATCTGTGCAGCTCTGTAAGCAGAGCTCTGTGAAGGGCACTGTTTCATACCTGGAGGATTGAGCCAAGGCTGGAGGTGGCCACCACTTCCACGAAACATGTGATTGAAGAACCACCGTGGGAAACACTGCAGCACTTTAATACTTTAACCCCTGCTTGTTTGTGGAGCCCAGGCAACGCCAGCGTAAGGCAGCCCCCAGAGTGGGGCTCTGGAAGGTGGGCAGGGGTTTTCCGACCTGCTGGCAGCCTGAAAACACACAGGCTCACAGCGCAGCCTCCGGGCAGAGAGCTCTGCGTGCAGCCTCTTTTCATGAACCTTTTTCTAATGTAGCTAAAAGTCTTCTGTTGTCACTGCAGCAGCTCACCGAGAGCTTTTCTTTCTTGCTGAAGATTATAGTTCTATTTACTGGCTCTTCGTACCTGGGAAAAATGGCAGAAACATGTAGTAAAGCAGACTTTCGTATTATCTTTTGTTTGAAGGATTCTTACTGATTGCCAAGTACAGGCAGAGAAAAGATGTGCAAAACACAGGGTCATATTTTCTGAAGTTGGTACCTTGATGCTTCAGGGCAGAGGAGGAGCTTCCTGCAGGTGGACAGGGTTGCTCTGTGCAGGGACCAGGTGACGGGCGGGGGTAGCTCAGAGGTTTCAGCCTCCACATTGAAGGCTGTAGGCTTTGGGAGCTGGTCAGGAGCATTGCAGGAAAACTCACTTGCTCAGGCCACACGTGGGCAAAGCTTGTCATTTTAGTAAAAGCACAGGGAGGAAGCGCTAGCTCCAGAGGAGATGTGGATTTGTCCATTGGGATGTATCTCACGTCTACTCCGATGGAAACATCTGCTGCTCTCGGATGCCCTACTTTGAAGTGACTAGAAAGACAGAATTGATTTTGTTCTTTGCTTCCTGACCATAGATGCCTAAAAATAAGCCAAGTTCAGATGCTGGTGTTGCATTTCTGATGAGCAGATGCTGTACTTGAGGAGAGAGAAACTTGGGAAATTCTGGAGTTATTATGCCTTTACATTTTTTCCAGTTGATATATTTCTTTTTCAATAATAGTGTCATTGAGATGTAACTCATATAGTATAAAATTCATCATTTTGAAGTATAAAATTCAGGGGTTTTCAGCATATTCACAGAGTTGTACAAGCATCAGCATCATCTAACTCTAGAACATTTTCAGTTCCCTCCCAAATCCCTGATCCAATGGCCATCGCTCCTTACTCTGCCTTGGCTCAAACCCCTGGAAACCATGAATCTACTTTCTGTCCCTCTGGATTTACCTGTTGTGGATATTCCATGTACATGTTTTCTTGCAGTTTGTAGCCTTTTTGGTCCGACTTTTTTTTTTTTTTTTTTTTTACTTAGCATGATATATTCATAGTTCATCCTCATTGTAGCATTTCAAATCCGTTCTGTGGACATACCACATCTTGTTTTCACATTCACCAATTGATGGACATTGGGGCTGTTTCCACTTTGTGGCTATTTTGAATACTGCTGCTATGAACATCCATGTACAGGTTGTTTGTGGACATTTGTTTTCCATCCTCTCGGGTGCATACCTAGATGTGGAATTGCTGGGCCATATGTGACTCTGTGTTTAACCCTATGAGGAGCTGCCAAACTATTTCCCAAAGCAGCTGCCCCACTTCAGTTTCCAGTAGCAATGTGTAAGTGTTCAGAATTCTCCACACCCACACCCATGCTTGTTATCTTCTGTCTGATTCTAGTCATCCTAGTGGGTGTGACGTGGTATCTCATTATGGTTTTGATTCGCATTTCCATAATTGAATAACCATGTTGAACATTTTTAAATGTGCTTATTGGGCATTTGGATATCTTTTTTGGAGAAATGTCTATTCCGATCTTTTGCCCATTTTTTAATTTGGGTTATTTGTCTTTTTATTGTTGATTTGAATGTGTTCTTTATATAATCCGGATACAAAGTCCTTATCAGGTACATGATTTGTATATGTTTTCTCCCTTTCTGTGGGTTGATGTAACTTTATTGATGGTGTTCTATAACACACAAAACTTTACAATTTTGATGGAGTCTCAGTTTATCTGACTTTTCTTTTGCTGTTTGTGCTTTTGGTGACATATCTAAGAAACTAGTACGTAATCTCAGGTCACAAGGATTTACTCCTATGCTTTCTTCTAAGAGTTTTATAATTTCTGCTCTTCCATTTAGGTGTACAATCCATTCTGAATTAATTTTTGTGAAAGGTGTAAGGTCTGTGTAGAGATTCATTTTCTGAATGTCAGTATCATTTGCTGAAAAGCCTATCATTTACCCTCTGGGTTGTCATGACACTCTTGGCGAAAATCAATTAACCATAAATGTTTGGGTTTATTTCTGGACTGTCAATTCTAAGCCATTGCTCTCTATGTCTTTCCTTATGCCAGTATCATCATACTCTCTTGATTACAATAGCGTTTCTTTTTTTTTTTTTTTTTGACATCCAAAAGTGTGGATTCTCCAACTTTGCTTTTCTTTTTCAAGGTTCTTTTGGCTATGTGAGATGTCTTGGATTTCTGTATGAATTTTAAGAACTGCTTGTCAATTTCTGCAAAAAAGAAAGCTGAGAATTTAATAGAGATTGCATTGAATCTGAAGACCTATTTGGGGAGTAGTGCTGTCTTAACAATATTGTCTTCCAACCCATGAGCACAGGATGTCCTTTCTGTTTACTTAGTTTTTCATTTCTTGTAATGATATATTGGTAGTTTTCAATGTACAAATCTTGCATATCTTGTTAAATTTATTCATAAGTATTTTATTCTTTTTGATTCTGTTCTGGTGCTCTTCTAACAGCATATGTTATTTATCCATTGTACCAATTTCTGCCTTTTGATTGGAGCGTTTAGACCATTTAGTGTAACTACTGATAAGATAGAATTTATGTCTGCCGTTTTGCTTTTTTTCCTTATGGATCTTATGTCTTTTGTGTTCCTTTTTTCCTCCATTTTGCCTTCTTTTGTGTTAGTTTCTAGCATACCATTTTAATTCTGTTGTTCATATTTTATACATTTTTCAGTTGTTTTGTTAGTGGTTGCCCTGGGGATTACAGTTAACATAATCTTGCCTTACGTTTAAACTTTTCTATGGCCCTAAACCTCTGCCTGTAGGAGTCCCACTGGGGCAAACCTGAATGGCTGTGATTGGAAAAGGAGGGGACAGAAATGGAGACCCAGGGACACATTGTTATCTGAGAACTGTCTGTGTTGGTAGATTTATCTGTTAACTTCTTTGTGGAATTTGATTACCTATACCATAAACCTTAGTTTCTTCTCCGGTGGTACCTTCCAAATGTTGATCAGATTAGATTTCTAGTAGTTATATCAATAGCTTTCCCCCTTGGGTTGGGGATTTGAAAGGCTGATGCTGGGTTCTAAATCAGCACAATGATCTTTGCTGCCCCCTGCCACCCCCCAACCTGCTCTCTAAGCTCCTGTGCCCTTCTCCTGCTCCCCAGGTGTTCACCCTGCTGAGTCTGATACACTCCCCATCCCCCAGGTCTGCAGGGACCCCAGTGCCAGAGATCTTCCCCCACTACTCCAGATGGGCAGCCTGCCATGAGAGGGAGGGCCAGCTGAGCACATCAGGACACCAGGATTTGGCCAGAAGACCGTTCCTCTCCTCCCATCAGGACTTTTCAAAGGTAACTTTGACATTGGAAAATGAAAGCTTGAAAACGTTCATTTATGTCTTCTTGGTGGGCTCTCAGGCCATTGTTGGGAAAGACCCCAACCTGGATGGGTTTTTCTGTACCTCTTAAACCACACCAAATAAGCAATTGCCTAGTTTGCTTCCCCTGAATGAGTTTTGAGGATGGTCTTCAACATATTATGTTAAGCGGTTATAGTAATTAATATGTTACAAAGGCTACCACACGGATCCTCATTTTCTGCTTTTAACAAGCTCATGAGGCTCTTATTGCTAGTCCGGTTTTGTAGACCAGGAAACAGGTTTAGAAGATCAAAGTGACGTCCCTAGGGTCTCAGTGATTCATTAAGTTGTCCAGAACATATGGATCGAGCAGCCGTATTGTGCCAGGTGCTGTTCTAACCCAGGACCCACGGTGAGCACAACGGACGCAAACTTCTCTCATGGAGATTCCAGGTTGGGGGGGGGGCGTGTGAGTGGAGGGTGGGGACAGGCACCAAGAGACTGACCACCATGTGAAGAAGTAAATTTCATGTCTCATTCCCAGGCATAAGTGTTGTGGAGAAAATAAAAAGCTACCAAGTTTAGAGGGGTGGAGTTTTCAATGGAGTGCTCCGGGAGGTCTCATAAAAAAGTCAACATTGGAACGTGGATTTAAGGAAGTGTGGGAATTAGCCATTTAACCGACTGGGACAAGAGACTTGGAGCTAGAAGAAAAGGTGGGTGTGAAGGCCCAGAGTCCAGTCTGTGCATCGCAGCACGTTGGGGGAACACCGAGAGGCAGGGGAGCCAGCAGAAGCAGTGAGTCGGGCGGCGGGGTCAGACAGTGGTCAGGAGGTAACAGAAACCTGTTAGCATCGCGGGCTATTGGGGGGAATTCTAGGCTTTACGACGGGAAATCAGTGCAGTGTTTTAGGCAGAGGAGGGATGGGATCCATTTTGATAGGCTCATTCTGGTATCGGTGTTGAATGATGGGGGGTAGACCAGGAGACCACTTAGAGGTCATTAGAGAAATCCATTGTAGTAAGTCAGACAAGAGATAATTTGGTGGCCTGCGCCACTGGTAGCCGTGGAAGTAGGGAAACGTGGTCACATTCTAGATATATTTTGAAGAAAGAGCCTTTACGATGTCCTGGCAGAATGGGGGTGGGGCTTGAGAAGAAGGGAAAGTCCATCATGATGGCAGAGATTTTAGGTTGTGCAACTAGAGGGAGTTGTCGCCACCTGAGATGGGGAAGTCTGCAGGGTGGGGAGGGTTTGGTGCCAAAAGAGGTTAGAAGTTCAGTTTTGAACAGGTTGAGTTTGAGATTATAAGACCCCCCCCAAATGGAGATGCTGAGTGGACAGGTATATCCACATCCGATAGTTGAAGATGGTGATCTGAGCTGGAGGTACAACGGGGGTCTTTGGCCTGCAGTTGGGATTTAAAGGGATAAGGTCAGTGAGATCCTAGTGAGAGAGGAGTTCTCAGGATTGGGCCCTGGAACATTCCGGCTTTAGGAGGAGTAAAGGAAGTGGGACACCAAGAGGCAGCCCCCAGAGAGGGAGGGGAAATCCAAGGGTGAGGCATCTCGGAAGCCACATGAAATCACTTCAGAAGGAGGGGATGATGAGCTGTGCCCAGCGTGTGGATGGGCCAGATGAGGCGGAGACCGGAATTGACTCTTGGATCAGTGCCATGCAGGTCATTGGTGCCTTCGGTAAAAACAGCAAAATGTCATGTGGGTCTGGTGACTATGGCAACCGAGGGAGAGATGGAGGGAGAACTCTGAGACCGAGATTGTTGACGGCAGTTTGGAGAAGGTTTGCTGCAAAGGGGAGCCGAAAATGGGGTGGTACCTGGTGGGGTGAGTCAGGCCAAGAGAATTCGTTTTGAGTTGGAAGCATTAACATTATTTATACGCCAATGGGAATGATTCAGTAGAGAGTAAAAAGTTGATAATATAGGACAGAGGGTTGCTGGAAGCATGTCTTGAGTGGGTGAGGGAGGTGCGTTCGTGTACAGGTGGAGTTGTTTGCTTCAGGCAGAGCACAGATAGTTACTGGTGGGGGACGGGCTAAATGACAGATGCATGGGGGCCGAGGTAGTGCTCAGAAGAGGAGTTTTCTTCTGATCGCTTTTATTTTCTTTGTGAAATAGGAAGTAAAGTCACCAGCTGAGAGTGCCGTGGTGCAGGAGGGCTTGTAAGTTTGGGGAAAAAGGGAAGGAGGTGCGGAGTGATCACCTGTTAGTCGTAAGAGTCCACCTGTACTCATCAGTGAGATTGTGTGTTTTTCTAGACAGTTCAGCTGTGGAGTTGAGGGCACACACACACAATAGCTCAAGAATTGAATTATGGGGAACTGTGAGTCTGTTTCTCTTTTGTAAAAAAGTTCATTTGTATCAATTTTTAATTATGTTTCACATATACATGATATCATATGATATTTGTCTTTCTCTGTCTGACTCACTTCACTTAGTACGATAATGTCTAGGCCCATACACATTGCTGTATATAAAATAGATAACTAACAAGGACCTACTGTATAGTACGGGGAACTCCACTCAGTATTCTGTAATAACCTATATGGGGAAAGAATCTGAAAAAGAATGATGGATACATATGTAAGTATAATGGATTCATTTTGCTGTCCACCTGAAACTAACATACATTTGTAAATCAACTGTACTCCAATAAAATTAAAAAAAAAAAAAGAATCGAATTGTCATTTGGCTGAGCAGAGAGGGACAGATTGACAGGGGTGGGCCCAGCAGTAGCATCTGCAGGAGAGAGATGGCCCAGGTCACCTGGAGATTACCACGGTGACTTGAGGACAGAGGACATCGGTCGTGAGAAGGAGGTTGGGCTGGGCGATAGGGGAATTGGAGGTGCAGGAGAAGGGCCAGAGCTGTCTGGCCGGGGACACTGAAGGGAATGGCTGGGGAGACCAGAGGTGGTGGGCTGACCGTGTGCCCGAACCTGGGGATTTGGGGTGCTTTCGGGAACCTAAATTCCAACGTTCCTTGCCCCGAGCCTCAGGTTCTCATCACCCCGCTTTGCCTTTTCACTGCCTGCCCTTTATTTTTTAAATTTTTTGGGCCACACCTCTAGGCTTGTGGGATCTTAGTTCTTAGACCAGGGATTGAACTTGTAGTGAGAGTGCGGAGTCCTAGCCACTAGGCCACCAGGGAGCTCCCTCACTGCCTGCACTGTGAAAGGGCCTGCTCGAGAACTCTTGTTGAGTCCCGAACCAGATACCGATATTACCAATGTTCCTCTGGTAATACTGGGAATATATTGCTAATTTCTTACCAACACATTTCTTTGCTGAGGCAGAGGGAGGCCTGCAGCCAGCTCATCAGTGCAGTAAAGACACAGGAAATGTGACAGCTGACATTTGAAGCTGCCCTTCCCCTTCTTCATAGGCCTTGGACACTAAGAGGATTTTTCTTTTTTTTTTTAACCTCGACTTTAACGTTTTAGGGTTACTGCATCCCTCTCTGCAGTACATTTGCTGGTCCAGAGACAGAGTTCCCTCAGGTATGAGGAAAACATGAAAGCACCCTGGAACAAATGCACTGCAAGGCCAAGTGGAATTGTGCATTCTTTCCTGAATCTGCCCACTCCCACCTCCCAGGACGTTCTACTTGGGAATCTGTCTCCAGCAAATTCCAAGAGCTGAAATGGCTTCATAGTTACAAAAGATTCATGTTGAAGAGGCCAAAATACCAGAAAATGGCATTCCAGCACAAGCAAAGATATTTTTAAATGGTTAGGTTTTATAAAGAGACACGGCCTCCGTTGGATATAAACCACCCCCGATTCACACTTCTGTCATTGACATAGCTATGTCTAAAAGATAGTTTCATTTTTTCTTTTTCTTTCTTCCCCCAGTGGAGAATGTCATTGGTAAGAAAATAAATCTTCTGTTAAGAAACTTTAACTGAGCCTTGGCCTTGACTCAGCCTTGGGAATGGCCGGCATGTGGAGAGCTGCAGCTGGGACAGCTGGGCTCAACCCTGCTCTTGGCTGGTGAAGCTTTAAGGCAAAGGTCGTTTAAAACTCTAACTAGAATCGAAAATATCAATACCCTGCTTAACTTCTCATGGTTTTGGAGTGGCTGAGGTAGTTACACGAGCAATATTTTTAGAAATAGAAACACTTAGAGATGCTGTTCTGAGTTGCTATGGTGGAAGGCCCTGTTCAAATAAATCTTAATGACCACATTTTCCACATTTGTCTCAATTGCAGTTTCTTTGTTTTTTTAATTAAAAAAATTTTTTTGTTGTTCTTTTTTTTTGTTTTGTTTTGAGAGCTATATGTGCTATCCTCTAAGCCCTGCTGTCAAGTCAGTATTTCCTGGGTAAGTCTCCGTGAGCGTTCTCCGTGTTTCCCCATCCCAAAGTGCAGAGGCAACGAGAACCACTGATCAAGGAGAAGCAAGTGCCTGTTCCCTGGGGCAGTGTGGACTTCTCTAGACAGCCAAGCAGCAGACACTTAATGAGCATCTATTATGTGCAAGGTCATGTGCTTGGGCCAAGAGAGATGGAAGAGTAGACACGGGGCGGGTCTCTGCTGTTATGTTTTCCTTTGACTAATGTTAACAAGCAGATGTGGAACGCCAATTCCCAAAACTTGAGCGCGGGACAGAGCAGAAGTGAGGCTGTGAGAAGTGGGTGCTGAGTACTAGATCCCTTCACGGCTGAGACATGTCTGAGTGGAGAGGAGAGAGGGACAGAGATGAGAAGGCAGTACGGAAGGCCACTCGGGCTGGACCCTGCAGGTTTGGAGTTAGACTCTTTCCTGTGGCTGGTCGGGGACCGTTATGATTTGCTAAGGGTAGTGATAGGATTTTTTTAAAAAGTGATTTGCACAGATTCATTGGGCACTCTTGTGCTCCTAATACAAAGAAAAGATGGAAAGCAGGGAAAACAGTCAAAAGGAAAAGTTTGATCATGTGGCTTAACAAAATTAATGGAATATTTTCCCCCCGATTTAAAAAATACAGTACGT